GGTCACTATGAGTCGGTACTGACTCGATGGCACCTGATAACAACAACAACAGGCATGGACTTGCTCATGCTATAACCTCTCACCTGGACTGCCTGGTATCCACAAAGTGTTCATTGATGGACGGCTTTCTGAAATGGATCCGCTCAATACCGAGAGACTTGGGGGGCAATCTTTTTGGAGAATGAGGGACCGAACTTGATCGCTGCCCAGCCACAGTAAAAGAGTCGTTGGCTATAATAAGTACATGAATGAATGAATGAGTGTTAAGTAGGTAATACTTCGCCAATACCTCAAAAATAAAATCAGAAGATCTGATGAACAAAGTACTCTTCCAAAGATGATGTATATTTAGAAGTACATCTTCAGATTAATTTTTATGTTTTTTATACAGTAGAAAGAGAAATGACTTAATCCTCTCCTGGGTATTTAGTCTACTTTTGCCAATTCCAAAGGGACCACTCTAAGCCAAGATATCACACAACTGGAAGGAGTGATACTGCACTTTTTCTTAAGTTATATATTTTTAAATGTCCCAATGTACACAGGACTAAGAGAAAGTGGCCAGAAAATGTGGCCTGGGTTACTTTTGTTCACCTTTATTTTTAAAGTCCTTAGGTCTTTCTGGCATCCAAGTCCACATGACAATTTCTTGCTATTGATACTGTACTCCAGATATATATGATGTAGTGGTTATGAGATGGGCTGCTAACCTCAAGGTCAGCAGTTCGAAACTACCAGCTGTTCCAAGGGAGAAAGACGAGGCTTTCTGCTCCCGTAAAGATTTACAGCCTTGGAAACCCTGTACAGGGTCACTATGAGTCGCAACTGACTCGACAACCCCCACACACAACTATTAAGAAATATAAAAGCCATACTTAACTCACATGCCACACAGAACTAGACAGGAGAATAAATTTGGTCTGCAAGCCATTGTTTGTAGACCTTGGACTTCAGGGTAACAAGATCCTTAAATCACTTCAAAGTGTTCACCCACAACATTTGAAGAAAAGGTTGAATTATCTATTTTAAGTTTGAAAAAATGTTTATGCGTAGAGTCAGAAGTCATTTCTCTCAGTTTATTAGATTAATAACTAATAAGAGTTTCCTTAGAGAATGGACTATAAACCCAGACTGATTATAACGAACGCCCTTGTACGAATATCTAACATAAATCAGCCAGACTTTAAAAACAAGGAAACACCCAGAAGTTTTTTAGGGGATCTCTCAAAAACATATCCACTTGCTGTCAACAACAAATGGCTGAGCTTTTGTGTTTCAGTTTGTCCTTAAATAGAGTGAGCAAGATAACACCTTCTGAAAGGATAAATAAATTCATTTGAAAATACTGTCAGGCATGGTAGAGGAAAAATTTCATAGCTTCTAGGCATTGGGCAAATCTGCTGCACAGGAACTTTTTTTAAAGTACTGAAGAGCAAAGATGTCAGCTTGAGGACTAAGGTGTGCCTGACCCAAGCCATGGTATTTTCAATAACCTCATATTGATGTGAAAGCTGAACAGTGAATAAGGAAGATCGTAGAAGAATTGATGCCTTTGAGTTGTGGTGTT